AAAGAAGCTAAAGAGAAGTGGTAAGTCAAACTTTTAGTCAATTTTAGTATTTTTCAGTTCTGGGCTGCAAAAGTAGACTTCTCTTCACCACTGTGAAGTCTTCTAGTCAACGCCCAGGTTAGTTTTGCAATTGACCGCATGAAAAAAAAGAAGACTTCTTTTGGTCCAAATAAAGTCTACTCTATTTCCTTTGATAACAAAAAAATGGCGTAGACTTTTAAAGTCGACTTCTTTAGAGGCAGGTCATTTTTGCAATTGACCAACCTTTGACTTTGTAGAGTAGACTTTTCCAAGAAAAGTAGACTTTTCGGAGAAGTCTAGAAGTCTACTTCCAAAAGTAGACTTCTCACAGGTCATTTTTAGAATTGATAAATCTTTGACTTTTTGGTCAATTGCAAAAATGACCTCTGAGAAGTCTACTTTCAGAAGTAGACTTCTCTGAGAAGTCAACTTTTCTTGGAGAAACTACTATATTTTTCGCAATTGCAAAACTAACATGCAAGAAGCCTACTTTTCTCCAAGAAATCTACTATTCTTGTTTTTCAAAAAAAAAAACTATTTTTATACAATATATAACGAATTTTTAAGATTTTCGTGATCCTAAGCTTCTGTTAGTAAGTGTTCTTGCCTATGCATAATTTTTACATATTTATATTTTATAGTTATGGTCGAATCAGTTTTTATGTTTTATAAGAAACTTAACTTATTGATCGCAGACTTCTCGATGAAGTCTACTCGAGAAGTCTACTAAGTAGACTTCATCCGTCTTTCAGAGAAGTCTACTTACTCAAATTTTTGTAAGAAAACTTATTTATCTGTAATATATGACAATAAAATTTCTTTGACTCTTGATTTTGTGTTATTTATTAATCTTGCTTATGTATGAGTTTTACATGTTTTTTAATTATAGTTCAAATTTAGTTAAATTTCTTGTTTTATTATGGGTTCAAAGATATTGATGACTAAGTAAGATGTCAAAAAAGAAATATGGTGATTACTGAGTAAGATGTCAAGGAAGATGTCTAAGTAAGAAGTTTACTTCAAAAGTCTTTGTAAGAAGTCTATTACGTAATATAAAACTATTGAAATAAACCTTATATTATGTAATATAATTATACTTGTGAAGTCTACTAAAGAAGACTAATTGAGAAGTCTGACAGTGAAGTCTAATTTGTAGAATACATAAACACACCTAATTTAGAAATATGATACAAAATATTCAATGCAATTCAATATTACATAGAAAATAACCCTCTAAACAAACAAATATTTAAGGGTCAGTGATTATAAATCTTAAAAAATCACTACTAAGCTAAAATGTCTGAAAAAATATGTTTGCAACTGAAGTCTGCTTGAGAATTCTGTTCGAGAAGTCTACGGCTGAAGTCTAAATCTGACCAATGGCGCCGTATAATTAACGTTTTGAACCTTCAAATCACTTAAATCCGGCGGAGACAAGCAAGAACTTTGTTGAGGTCTGTAGAACAAAACCAGAAATATAAATAATATCAGATCGGTAACAATAAGTAAAGAGAAATGTTGAAATTTAATTTGCAACATAATCTACTATATTTATAACATTCAGATCTGCAAACAAAATTCAGCTTTGCAACAATAACAAAAAAATTAGATCTGCAACGAAATTCAGATCTACAATAAAATCTACAAAATTTATACAACAATAAACTCAGATCTGAAAAAATAAACTTAGATCTACAACAATAAGCTCAAATCTATAATAATAAGCTCAGATTTGCAATATGAACACAAAGCAAACAAAAAAAAAACACAAAAGTTCAGATTTGCTTACCACTACCATAACCTGCAAGTGAGAGGAGGTTGAATGCAAGATAGAGATGATGGAAAGGAGATTGACAGCAAGAGAAGAAGGAGAAGAAATTCGTGGCCAGAGAGAAGGGAGAAGAGAGAGAGGCGTTTTTGAGATAGAGAGAGACTTTATTGTTAATATAATTAGGTTAAACTGTCCTTATATATGTAGAAAATTTTCGTTTAAGTACACTTCTTTTTGAAGTCTGCTCGAGAAGTATACTGAAAAAGTCTTCTTTTTGAAGCCTACTGGAGAAGTCTACTCGAGAAGTCGGCTAGAGAAGACTAATTCGGCTCGAGAAGTCTATAAAAGAAGTCTACTTCGGTCCGAGAAGTCTACTAAAGAAGTCTACTCAGGAAGTCTGCTTATCCTTAAACCTTAAATCAATTTTTTTTCTTCTTAAAACTTATATGAAAACAGAAATTTACTTATCATATTGATAACCACAGTTAAAATAACAAATATATGAACCCTAATTCATTAACCAAACCATAAACTATGATTCATATAAATTTTTACAAACCCTAATAATTACACTCTTATACCCTAAACCATAAACCTCAACCTTAACCCTTTTGAATTGTATTCTCAAGAAACTTATGAATTGATTCATTTTCATGAAAATTTATGTTATATAGATGTTAATTGGCTATGTTTTAGTTATGTGTCTAATTTTTTTTTTTATGATTTTTAAATTAATTCTAAAGAAATTATTAGAGAGTAAACTTCTTGGAGAAGTATATTCGAGAAGTATACCTAGTATTGGTTTCTAACCTAATATATATATATATATATATATTGATTTAAATTGATTCTTTTTTTTATCAAACTTATTTTAATAGATGGAAAATGTATATATTTTGGTTATGTATCTAATATTTTTTTTCAAATTATTTTTCATGATTTTTTTTAATTAATTGTAAAGAAAGTATTAGATAGTAGACTTTTTGGAGAAGTCTACTTGAGAAGTCTACTTAGTATTGGTTTCTAACATAATTTGTCTATGTTGATTTAAATTGATTCTTTTGTATCAAAATTTATTTTTAATAGATGGAAAATATATATATTTCGGTTATGTATTTAATATTTTTTTCAAATTATTTTTTATGATTTTTTAATTAATTGTAAAGAAATTATTAGAGAGTAGACTTCTCTGGATAAAACAGTTATTGAAGCTGACGTTTTATGTTTGGTCGAAAGGATTAATATTATAATTTCACTACCCTTGTGAGTTATTTTTGTCAAACATGCAATAGGGAGGTCTAGTTTTGCATTTCAACTCAAGTTTTGAGTCATTTTAGCAATTCCCCCTTTAATCTTTTGATTTATGTAACTGATCTGTCTTCTGTTATTGTAGTATTTTACTACCGTTTGAAATTCTGATTATTCATCGTTTGTCACTTTTTTTAACAAACTCAGTTGCAGTTTGATTTGATTCGTTGTGATATTATATGTTCTTTCGATAGTTTATATCAGTGTAGATTATAGCTTTTTTAAAAAAGTTATCTTCGTGTATTGTTATCTCTTACTTGATTTGTTATTTTTTGTCATTTGTAGATCAGTATGAGTCGTGCTGTTCTAGAGTAAGTGTTTTTTTTTACTAGCATGATTGTTTTTTTTGAATTTTTTGTTTGTGCCTTTTTGATTTCACGATTGTTTAACACACATTGATCTTAAAGATGGAGGATGATGCAAATATAAGGTACAACACTTTGGAAATGAGAAAAGGAAACCACAAGGTGATACAAAATCTTCATTTCCACTTATATATTTGATGCTTATTGCGGTCTTTTTAAAATTGAGGTCTTTTGTTGAACTATATATGTCTTTTTTTGAACCACTTGTATACAGACAATACTCTACCTATTAGTCTCATTTGGTTGTTCTCTTTATTCATATTTTTTTATATAGTTATTGCTGCCAATTCTTTTTTTAAAATTATATATTTACTATATATTTTTGAATTTTTTATTGGTATAGGTAAAATGTTCGAAAATATTGGTGATAATGAGTTAATTTGTGAGATTCCGATCATTTTCTATGCTGGTAATATTGATGAACCTCTTGAGCTTTGCAATGCTACTACTTATGACTTGTTTTGTGGTTTGTTATGGGAGTGCTAAGTGTTTATGCAGAAGAAATCGATGAGAAAATTTGAAAAAAATTCTAAAGACGAAAAAGAAAAATCAGAAGAAGAGAAATAAGAAGTTAGAAAAGAAGAAGAAAATAATTTTTTTAGATGAAAGTAAAAGAAAAAAAAACAAAAGATGAAGAAGACAAAATAGAAAAGAGTTAAGACGAGAAAGAATATGAAGATGACAAAATGAGTGGACATGATAAAATGAAGAAAAAAATTTAAGGAAAAGATAACAAAGAAAACTGAAAGATAAAGAAAAAGTAGAAATTGTAGGAGATGAAGACCATGAAAAATAAAAAGAATGAGAGAAAGATAAAATCCGGAAGAATAGTAAGAAGAAAAAGCACTGAAGCATGAATAAGATAAAAGTAGAAGAAGATTCAGATGTCGGAGGAAATTAAAGAAGTAAAAAGAAGGAAGATAAAAGTTCTGAAAACATGAAGAATCCAAAGGAGATGAAGATGATAAAGAAGAAGAAAATGAGAAGACAAGGAAGAAAAACATCAAAAGATAGAAAAACAAGATGAAACCGATAAAAAGAGACTATATTTAGTTTGTTATCATATTATCTGTTTATTCGGTTGTTAGAAAGTTATATTCTGTAGGACACGTGTGATCAAATGTTACGCGATGGGAAAATTGGCTGAAGATTTTGTCTTGTTGTAGCCTCAAAATCGTGATGCAGAAGTTGTCTGTATTCTGAAATTGTGATCTTATTTGTTTTCTTTGAATATATGTCTAAAAATCATTGTATTTGCTTATTTATCTTCTATTCTTTGTATATCCTGAATCTAATTGATAAGAAAAAAAGGAATTTATAAGTCTTTAGTAATAATAATAGATGAAATAATCTTGAACATGTTTATTTATTAAACATTCATTATTATTGGGAACTATTATTTGTATACCTTTCGGCTCCCGCAGAGCGCGGTATACAGTAAGAACATTTATTCGGGTTCTGTTTGTTAATTTTGCGTGTATTTCGCTTGTTTGACGCGTTCACCATTGTTAAAATCCTGAACCATAAGTTTAGAGAATCTTTCGACTAACACAAATCATGACATCAAAAGAGGATTGAACTATTGTCATCAAAGTACACATAAGCAAAGTGATACACAAAAAGCACAATCAGAGAGAGACAGAGACAGCTCGTCTTCACGCCTCTCTCTTTTCCCGGCAATTTCATTTAAGCAAAAAAAAAAAAAACAAACCCTTCTCTTCTCTTCATGTGACCTTTTCTCTTTCCACTCCTCCATGCATCACTCCTCCACCGCCGTCTCCGGCGAACTTATCAAACCACCTCCCTCAACCGCACCTCTCCAACCACTTCTTGATCTCATCACAAACGTCCTCTCTCTCCTACTCCTCTCTTCCCTCACCGTCCGTTCCTTCATCGGAAAGTGGCAGATCCTCCGTTCAAAGCTCTTCTCCCTTCACTCATCTCTCTCCTTCTTGTCTGAATCTCCTCACTGGTCTCAGAACCCTCTCCTCCACACTCTCCTCCCTTCTCTCCTCTCAAATCTCCAACGCCTTAACTCACTCTTACACCAATGCTCCGCCCCTTCTTTCTCCGGCGGGAAACTCCTCATGCACAGCGACCTCGACATAGCTTCCTCCTCCCTCTCAACTCACATCAGTGACCTTGACCTTCTTCTCAGATCTGGTGTTCTCCATCAAAACGCCATCGTTTTATCCCTCCCTGCTCCTACCTCAGACAAAGACGACATTGCCTTCTTCATCAGAGATCTCTTCACTCGTCTCCAAATCGGCGGCGCTGAGTTCAAGAAGAAATCACTTGAGTCTCTCCTTCAGCTTCTCACCGATAGTGAGAAATCAGCAAGAATCATAGCTAAAGAAGGTAATGTCGGTTACTTAGTCACTCTCCTCGATCTCCATCACCATCCTCTGATTCGCGAACATGCTCTCGCCGCCGTCTCGTTGCTTACTTTATCAAGCGTTGATTCGAGAAAGACGGTGTTCGAAGAAGGCGGATTAGGTCCTCTGTTACGATTACTCGAAACAGGATCTCCGCCGTTAAAAACTCGAGCCGCGGTGGCGATTGAAGCCATCACCGCCGATCCGGAAACCGCCTGGGCTATCTCCGCATACGGTGGCGTCACCGTTCTAATCGAAGCTTGCAGATCGGGATCTCTAGAAGTACAAGAGCATATCGCCGGTGCTATAAGCAACATCGCCGCCGTGGAAGATATCAGAACAATGCTCGCAGAGGAAGGAGCCGTACCGGTTCTTATACCACTCTTGACCTCCTGTTCATCCTCGTTACAGGAAAAGACGGCGAACTTTATCTCCTTACTCTCATCTTCCGGTGAGTATTTCCGAGATTTGATTGTTCGAGAGAGGGGATTGCAGATTCTGATTCATTTAGTTCACGATTCGTCGAATCCCGATACGATTGAGCACGCTTTGATTGCTCTTACTCAATTATCTGCCATGGATTCAATCGCTAGGGTTCTATCGTCATCAACGGGATTCATTATCCAATTGGGGGAATTCGTGAAGCACGGAAACGTAATCCTACAACAGATTTCATCTTCTCTCTTAGCGAAGCTAACAATCAGCGACGGTAACAAACGAGCAATCTCCGATTGTTTAATCTCGCTGATCAAACTGATGGAATCGCCGAAACCGGCGGGGTTACAAGAGGCGGCGACGGAAGCGGCGAAGTTGTTGCTCACCGTTAGATCAAATCGGAAAGAGCTGATGAGAGACGAGAAGAGCGTGATTCGATTGGTGCTAATGCTGGATCCGAGGAACGAGAGGATGGTTGCTAAAGAGCTTCCGGTGATGGTTGTGGCGGCGATTCTCTCAGGAGGAAATAATCCGGCGAGGACGAAATTGATTAGTTTAGGAGCTGATCGTCATCTTCAATCTCTGGAGGAGTTGGAAGTTTCCGGCGCGAAGAAAACGCTTCAGAGACTCGCCGCCGGTAATCGGCTGAAGAGTATCTTCACGAAAGCATGGAAAGATCACTAAGGTGCGTTTTCTTTTCTTACATGGGCATTTCCGTAGTTTTTAATTAATGAAAAAAATATAGTCAATAGTCTAAATTACCCCTCACATAATTCGTCTCAGTGACGAACGAGTAGGACCACAATTTAATGTCTTTTTGGAGTCCACAACTTTTCTCAATTTAATTGAAATTGATTAGAGATACAGATGGGACGATACTGCATAATTTAAAGGTCCCCATGAAAACGTGGCCCCAAGGGTTATAATAAAGTTGCATTATCGTTGATATATAGCCATGTATTAAACTATTAACTATAAACTGGCGACATTCATTGAGCTGACACTGACATGCATTATTTATTCGCTAAATCTTGCAAATTGTTTAAAGTTTACAGATTTTGACTGACTTTAGAGCATTTCTATCGGTATCTCTTATCGGTATTTCTAATCAAGTCTCTCAAAATAAAAAATTAATAAATTTAAAAAAAAGAAAGAGAATAGAAAGTCTTTCAAATGAGAGATTTACTTTATGTAATATATTTTTTTATATGATTGATTTAAACTTTATTTCAAAATTAAAATTAATTAATATAATTAAATTTTATTAAAATTATTATTATTAAATTGATGAGAGACTTATATTGGTGGTCTTAGATTCATCCTATAATGTACACTTTGGGCAAATGATTGGGTAAGAGAGTTTTGGGTACTTCAAAGTTATTACTCGAAGCACCCTCTTCCATTTGGTTCAGGTTATTTGGGTTTTGAATTTTTTCGGATTTTAGACATTGGTCTTATTCAGAATTAAACTATAACTCGGTTTTGTTAAATTTAAATTTTAGCTTTTCGAGTTCTACAAAATAAGTTATTCTTGATCACATAATTTTTAAGTTTGGATTAATTCAGTTTTAGTAAAAAGAAATATATTAAAAAGAAAATTTAATCTTGGTTTGGCTTAAGACAAAGATTTAAATAAAAACATCATAATTAACTGATTTTAATTAAGACCGTAGGTTTTGCGTAAAGGGTTTATATATATTTTATTAATAATATTAATTGCTTAATGATTTTTGGTTAATTAGGTTTACAAATTTTTATTCTATTCGGTTTATTTTACAATGCAGTTTAGGTTAAAAAAATTATAATTTGGTTTAGGTTGCAAACACATATTTAGTAGGGATTATTGGTTTTTGTATTTTGGTGGATTTACAAATTTTCTTTGGATTTGATAAATTTATTGATTTCAAATCAGCAAAATGGAAAAAAAATCAAATCCACTCAAATACCAAAGTTAGATCTTGTATTTGGGTCTTTGTATTTTAGTCATGAAAATCCTTCCAAATCCATTCAAATTCAATTAAAACTCAAATTCTTATAATATTTAGATTCTAAAATGACACTGTATTTCATTATAGATTTTAAAATCATAGAACCAATAACACTGTATTTCAATATAAATTTTAAAATACAAGAACCAATAACACTGAATTTGGTTTGAATTCTCAAATCTATTAAAATACAAGAACCAATAACACCTCCTTAGGTTTTAACTGGTGACCAATAAAAAATGAATAGGAATAAAAAGGAAAAAAATAAAAGGAACAGAAGAAAAAGAATGAATAAGAATGAAAAATAAATAAGAAAATAAATAAATATATTTTGTTCCTCCCCAACTTTAATAAGGAATACATTTGTTCTATAATTCCTTATATGATAAGGAATAAGAAAGAATGATAGGGAAATATTATTACTAGTAAATGGTAAAAATTTTAAAGAATGAATAGGAATTCATTATTCCCCCTTATTCCATTGGTCACCAGTTGAAGCCTTATTCTAGGCATGTCAATTTGGGCTAAGGCCTGGCCCGACCCTGAAAAATATTGGGTTTGGACTTTGATATAAAAGCCCAAAAAATCGAGTTTTTTGGGCAAAACTCATTCGGGCTAAACTCATTTGGGCTTAAGCCCGATCGGTCTCGGATTTATCCGAAAAAGTCATGTACTTTATATTATAATTTTATTTAAAAATTTTTACTTTATAAATTATTTTCACAATTTTAAAAAATTAGAGTTATTAATTTTTTTATAATATTTTTTATTAATATAAAACTTTAATTTTTAGTTGTGTGCCTTCATATAACATTAATGCTCAAACTTAATTAGTTTCAAGAAGCACTCTTACCATCATGATTCTCATCTAGATTTCGTCGTTTTTATTATTTACATTACATATTTATTTAATTATATTTGATGTTAGAATTTATATGAATTTTTAAGTTAAAATTTTACTTTCAGATTTGATAAAACTATTTTTATGATTATTTTTAAAATTTATTTTATTTACTTAAAAAGCTCGAAAAAACTCAAAAAAATTTGATAACCCTGTTAGAATGGGACCGTATTTCAGAATAAGTTCGATATATTATCAGGCTAAACTGGGCCAAACTTAAATATATGCGGACTTTACGAATTTTGGGCCGGACAGCCCGTTTGTCATGCCTAATTTATTCATTTGGAGTCTTCGGTCGGTTGGTTAGGTGTATATGGTGTCTAAGCTGGTTTAGTGGAAACGTGGAATAAGTAAAAGTGGGTAATAAAAATGTCTCACATTACAGGTATGAAAGCTGCAATTGTGGAAGACCTGGAACGTGTGCCTTCTACTTTTGACTAAAAGCAAAGATTCCGATTACTGATGTACACACATTCATATCGACAGGCAAATTTTTCTTTCGTCTGATATTTTAATTAATTCATCAAAGTCACGGATGCAGGTTTTATAGAGTATCCTCCTTCTGCTTTGTTTTATTTTGTAAGTCCTTGAAAACGATCCATCTCATGTCTAAACTTTAGTTTATTCTTGAAAATGATCTGAGTCCGAAGTTTAGGGTGGAGAGTTTTTCTTTTTCCACATGTATCGTGTGTTATATATGTAAATGACTCTTTGAATTTTTTTTTTTTTTAATCTGTAACGAGTACTAATACAGACTGTATCTGCCGACTATTTTATTTCCCTAATATCTTCATATTTTTTGTACCATATTTATCAATGCGTTTGAAACAAATATGTGAACAGAATACAAATCGTCTTAGACCATCTCCATACAAACTTAAAATAAGTATCTAAACAATATTATATTATTATTTTCATTTCATTTATTTATATAATTAAATTTTGGTTACAAAAAAATTGAACCAATCATTTCAGTTCTCTTTCATACTTTTGCATTTATTCTAATATTTAATACTTAAGATATTGCTTAAAAAATTCTTGATGGAGTTGCTTTTAGTATTGTAAACAAGAGAAGAGAAGAAAGAGAATTAATGTGTATTATTTCAGTGAATAATGGGTTCTTTATATAGGGATACAAGAGAGTATTATTTGGTGATAAAGAAGATGAACTTTATAATGGGCATCTCTCTAATATTCATAACATTCTTCCTCTGATGTCTATTGTAATAATTTGTAATGCGCCTAAGATATTGTTTCATTAAAAACTTTACCAGGATAACTTAGTTGGAAAAATCATGGTTAAGAGAAAAAGAGTACAATTCGCAATTACTTACCCTAATGAGTACATACTTCAAGATCTTTGAGACGACGTAATCAGACGTGATGAGCTAACTTCTTGAAAACAGAAGTGGGCAGCACCTTGGTAAATAAAATAGCCAAATTCTCGGTTGAACGGATCTCTATAACTTGTACATCGCCATTCTTCTGTAGATCGTGTGTGAAGAAATTTTTTGCTAGGATGTGTTTCGTTCTGTCACCTTTGATGTAACCGTCTTTAAGTTGTGTGATGCATGCAGCATTGTCTTCATACATAATTGTTGGTGCTCCTTTTCCTTCAAAGATACCGCAATCTTCTCTTATATGTTGAACTACCGACCTTAACTATACACATTCACGACTAGCTTCATGAATAGTTAAAATCTCTGAATGATTAGAAGAAGTGGCTGCGATAGTTTGCTTCATAAAACGCCAAGAGATAGCAGTACCTCCACATGTGAATACATATTCTGTTTGCGATCTAGCACTATGGGGATCCGATAAGTATCCTGCAAAGCCAATTAAGTCTTCCTTGGATATGTTAGAAAAAAATAATCCCATGTCTTTCGTACCTTGAAGGTAACGAAGTATATGCTTAATTTCATTTCAGTGCCTTCGAGTTGGACATGAGTTAAACCTTGCTAATAAATTGACCGCATATGATATATCGGGTCTTGTGTGAGTAGCAAGGTACATCAATGCTCCTATTGTACTTAAGTATGGTACTTCAGGACCAAGAACTTCCTCTTCTTTTTCTCGAGGATCCTTTAAGACATCGAGTGATCTTACAACCATTGGGTTACTCAAAGGATGTGCTTCATCTATAGAGAACTTTTTGAGAACATTATTTGTGTATGTCTCTTGATGCACCTGAATTCCATTCTCTAGGTGTTCAATTTGTAGTCCCAAACAAAATTTTATTTTTCCAAGATCTTTCATCTCGAATTCTTTCTTAAAATATTCTATTGTGTAGGAAATTTCTGCAGAGTTCCCATAATATTTAAATCATCAACATACACTGCAATTATGACGAATTCTTTCCCAAATCTCTTTATAAAAATGCATGGACTAACATGGTCATTCTTGTAGCCTTCTTTTATCAAGTACTCACTAAGGCGATTATACCACATACTCCCTGATTGTTTTAATCCATAAAGAGACCAGTTTAACTTTATACGGTATTGTTCTCGAGATGTAGATTTTACTGCTTCATGCAGTTTGAATCCTTCTGGGACTGTCATATAAATGTCATTTTCCAGTGGTCCATACAAGTAGGTTGTGACTACATCCATTATACGTAAATCAAGTCCTTCTTTTATCGCCAGACTAATAAGGAACCGAAAAGTAGTTGTATCCACCACAGGATAGTATGTCTCTTCATAATCAATTCCAGGTCTTTGTGAGAATCTTTGTGCAATTAAACATGCTTTATGTCTCACGATTGCACCATTTTCGTTCCTATCTTGTACAAAAACTCATTTATGTCCCACTAGTTTTACACTTTTAGGTGTACGGACTATTGGTCCGAATACTTCTCACATTGAGATATATTTTAATTCTGCATCTATTGCTTCATTCCATTTTGGCCAATCATTTCTTTGTGTACACTCTTCAATAGATACTGGTTCATGATCCTCATCCATAACATCAACTGCTATATTGCATGCAAAAATATCATCGACGCCGATTTGCTTTCGGTTACATGTTATCCAGACATGATATAATTAATAGAGATTTCTTCATTGTCAGGTACCTGAACTTCTTTCTGGGTCATGTCTAAGTTCTCTTCTTGAGATCTTTCATTTGTAATTACCTCGGTTTCACTATTGCCAATTTCTGCTCCTTTGATTTTTCGAGCATTTTTATCTTTGGAACTCATGTCTTAGACTCATTAGCAGTTTGAATTCGTCCTTCTGGGATATTTATTCTTATTGGAGAATTTGCAGCTGGGATATGTGACTTGATCACACTTTTTGGGTCAGTAAAATGATATTACCATATATTTTGCATATTTACCATGCATTTAGAGTTAGTTTTCATGCATTCATCTTGCATTTTAGGCTAGTTTCTACCATTTGTTGCATTTTTGGTCATATATCACTTTGCATTCGCATTTCGCATATTTTCTGCACTTTGCATCATTATCAGGTTGTTTGGGACACTCTGGAGTTGCGGAGGTTGCGTGGACATGCATTGGATCGAGAGAAAGCTTGTGGACACTTGGAGAACTCAACCGTTCAGTAAGGGACCCGAGATCGAGACGCAGATCGGGCTAGGCAGGTCGATCTAGACGAGATCGACCAGAAGATCGAGTGACTCAAGTCATTTCATGGAGGAGGATCGAGATCAAGATCGAGAGAGAAGATCGATCGTGAGTACGGACGTGTATTACGCCATGCAGATCGAGAGCCAGATCGAGACCACGACCCGTTCATCTAAGGATCGACTCCAAGATCGAGCACAAGCAGACGATCCAAGCAGAAGATCGAGCCAGAGATCGAGTGATCCAAGTCGATCTCTGGGACCTTATCCGGCCAGCTCATTTTTTGAGCGTATTGAGGGGACCATTAGGGCTGTTTAGCTATTTTTGGAAAAGGGCGGCTATCACTTTCATTATCTCGACTTTGTCTTATCTTTTTCAGCTATCTTAGGCGATTTTTCCGCCATTGTTCTGTTCTTGAAGTTTTTCATGTTTTGAACTTTGAATCTTTTTAATATTAAATCTTCGCCTTTAATCGCTTGCTTAATCATGCTTAGTTTATCTTTTTTTGCATTTGAATCGATTTTAATCATGAGTAGTGAGTAGTTTTCTTTGGGTAAAAGGTTGGAGCGATTCAAGGGTTTAAAGGGTTTAAGCTTTTGGATTTCTTTTTGATCTTAACTTATTCCTTTCTAGGATTTGGAGTCTTAAGGCTTAGGGAGTCTTGAAAAAGATCTCTATGATTCCAGGGCTTCTCTTACCTTGACCGGATTCAAAGATCCTTGAAAACCAAATCTTAGAGGCTAATCTACTCTCTCCCAAAAGCCATGGATGTAGAGGAGGTTAGTTAGGCCACTTGTTGAGATTTATAGTCCATGCTCTTTGATCTCTCTTTCCACCACAAGCCATGGGTTTGGAGGAGAGGTCGAAGAAGGGGTTTTTACCACACGCCATGGATGAGCCTAGTTTAAGTTTCTCAAGGCTTAGGAAAAGCTCATCAAATGAGTAGATCTATGTGTTTTCAAACCAAAGCTTGAACATTTGAACACTCTTGAATATGACCCTCGACCTTGAACCCTCTTTTTAGCATTTTAAAACCTCTGTTTATCATTCTCTTGTCATAAAGTTGCATTCTTGATCATTAGAACTCATTTGTCTTAAGTTGTTAGAATCGACCTGTTTTACCCGTTTTAGCTCTCGATTTTAAGTTATTAGTAGATTTGCGTTTTTAATCCTCTGTTTTCTCCTAGTAGTAGTTAACTCTCTTCCAGGGATTTTAAAATAGTTTGCATAATCATTTGGTCGTTGCATTTAGTTTTTAGCGATTTTACCATCCATTTATCCGATTCTGCTTAGATTTGCTTAGTTCTTGCATTCCTTGTGTTCATTCTTCACCCAAGCTTGATTGATACTCTCTTGCACTGTACTACATCATAACAAGTTGCTTGAGCTTTGATATTCTTGCTTGCAAACAAAAATCTCGTTTATCAAATGGCGTCGTTGCCAACTTGGGTTTGTTAGAAAGCATTATGATTTGGAGCTTAGTAAAGACTAAGCCTTTACATTTACTTTGGTTACTGATTTCTCTGCCTTCTTACTTGTGTTTTCAGGTACATGAATATGAGGTCTAGGGGTGACAACAATCTACTTAAACCCCTGGACAATATTCACCAACTCGGACACGCAAGATCAAGAAGAGCAAGAGAGCAAGCTCAAGCATTTGAAGAGATTGTGCAAGCTGGTACAGTACACTTTGCAAGAATGGCTGAGAAAGAACATCATAAGGGACCTCTACCAGCTCACGGTGCTGTAGGAAGGGGCAATGGAAACCCCAACCACGCAGCTAGACCTCCTCAGATCGTTGATGCTGGAGATGCTCCAAATACACATCATAAGAGCTTTGGGATCACTCCTCCACCAGTGCAAAACAATAACTTCGAGATAAAGCCTGGATTTGTCTCTATGGTTCAGAACAACAAGTTCCATGGCCTTGCAATGGAAGATCCCCTGGAGCATCTTGATAACTTTGAGCAAGTTTGTCGGATGATAAAGATAAATGGCATCTCCGAAGATGCTTTCAAGCTATGGTTCTTTCCATTTTCTCTTGGAGACAAGGCTAGGCACTGGGAGAAAACCCTTCCACAAGGCACCATTACTTCTTGTGCTGAATGTAAGATGGCGTTCCTCTCAAAGTTTTTCTCGAGCACAAGAACAGCTAGGCTGCAAAGTGAGATTAGTGGATTCACTCAAAGACAGAACGAGACGTTTAGTGAAGCTATGGAGAGATTCAGAGACTATACAATTCAGTGTCCTCACCACGGCTTCAGTGAAGAGACTCTCTTGAGCA